TAAATGATATGACCTCATTAATAGAGGTCTACAAAAGGGCATTCTAAACAAAAAAGAGTTTGAATACTTAAATGTAACACATCCAAAAATTCCCAAATTCTATTGCCTCCCCAAGGTCCATAAAAACCCAGAGCTTCCACCCGGAAGACCTATAGTTTCGGGCATAAATTCCATATCATGCAGACTTTCAGAATATGTGGACAAATTCCTGTAGCCCATAGTTCGATCTATTCCCAGTTATCTAAAGGATACGGGAAGCATTCTGAGACACTTGCAAACAATTAAATGGAAAAAAGATTACTATTTGGTAACCGCAGATGTGAGCTTCCAGTATACCATTATCACATATCAGAAGAGCTGCACTGCAGTGAGATTCTTTCTGGAGCAATCCCATTCGAACTAGATCATTACCTACAACTTAATGATGGCTGGGTGGAGGGCCTGGTGACCTATCGCCGTTACATAGATGACCTATTTTTTTATTTGGAAAGGCACAGAGAACATATTACACACTTTTTTAAACCAGCTTAATAATAACGAATGGGGCTTTATCTTAACTACTAATTTTAGTAAACACACAGTCACATTTTTTAGATCTTGATATTTTTATAGATGATGAAAGGGTGAAAACCAAAACACATTTTGAAGATGTGGATGTCAATAGTATCCATACCTCTAGTTATCATTTCTCCCCATGGTTAAACAGTGTACCCAAGCCACTACTTGTTCGAATTAAGAGAAATTGCACGGACGAGGACACTTTTAAGTAACAAGCGGACAAATTAATCACTGACCTATTAGACAAGGGCTATAAAAAGGAAATATTAAGACACCTACGCACAAGTCTCAACAATACAACAAAAAACTCTATTACAAGAAAAAAAATGAAAGTGACGTCAATCTACCTATTATATGTAACTAAAGCCACAATAACAGGGCATTAAGAAAAATTCTAAATAAACACTGGCCCATCCTACTACAAGACCATGCTCTGTCCCAAATCCTACCAGAAAAACCTAAAATAGTGTTTAGAGGGGCCGCCAATCTAAATAGATTACTGGTAAAAAATCATGTTAAGAAAACAAAGGCCACTACTTTCTTAGACAAAGGAAAAGGTTTTTATGGATGTGGCACATGCTTGGCGTGCAGAAATACAAACAATAAAAAGAGACACATTAAGAGGCTTAAGAATTTCAATAATGATGAAGAATTCCCCATTAAAGAACTTATAACTTGCCAATATGTGGGACGCACTAAACGTAACCTACACATAAGGGTTGAAGAATATATTAGAAACATCAGGAGAAACTTTGAAGGACATGGTGTATCACACCACTTTGCACTTGAACACAATAGTGAGTCAAGAGGGTTGAAGTTCATGGGCATATATAAGGTTAAGGGAAATTGGCGAGGAGGGGATCCTAACAAACTTTTGGGACAGAGCGAGATGAGGTGGATATTCAACCTTGGGGACTTTAAAACCTCAGCGTTTGAATATAGACTTTGAACTCTGCCATTTTATTTGAATTCATTCAAGGACATCTTTTCACGTTTCTTTTTGGGGGCTCATTGTAAATAAACATATTTTAAGTAAACATATTTTACACATGCTATCCTTGAACATGTTGGTTTAATCCCCATCCCAATATGCATTACATTTCAAATTTGTTGTTTAATAATTTATTGAGAATATTACTTTGTCAATATTTAATTAACTTGCATTCAATATTCTATTGGATACATCAAAATATATCCATAAGGATACCCATCTCTGTACATACCAATCTAAATTTAGCACTTAATATAACTTTTTTCATATTTCTCTAAATAAACACTATACTTTATGCACTTTATGTAAAATCACATAAAATTTTCTTATATATGCAAATATAAGTACTAATTATAATTATCTTATGTCCTTTTTTCTCTCTCCCCCTACATTATTCTTTTTTTCCCCTGCCTACTATTTATCTATTTATGTTTACACTCCCTTCCATTGCCGTGCTGTGTTGGAGGGAGGAGGAGTCTGTGAGCACATCGGCACACCCGAGGGCGGGACGAGCCGATGTGCCTACACATCATCCTCTCAGGGATGAATCTCCTCCCACCCATTAGAGTTCCCTCCCTCCGGCCCGGATGCATGAGAGGCGTGTAGCAGGATCGGAGTGTCTGGGAGTCTCTTCGGGGCCGCGGCTAGATGATGTTCACGGAGGTCCATGACGTCACTTCCGCCAACCACCCCGGCGAGCTCCCAGTCTTTCCGCCATCATTGTCCACCAATGAAAGTTTAAGCAAATAAAAGTGCCGAAAAGTCGGCCAATTGAAAGTATGCACACAAGGGGAAGGACTAAAGGACATTTAAAATGGAAGATTCAGAGGACCATCATTACAGCTGACTGAGGAAGCTCTATTGAGAGTGAAACGCATATTGGCCATTTTAAAGGACTTTTACAAATAACTTTTTTAACTCTTTATTTTTATTTGTTATTGTACATCAATACATTTATTTTACTCAAGATACCCTGCTCAAGTCCTTTCTGGAGCCTCTGGGAATCTCCATACGGGCAGTGCCACCCCTATTTAAATTGGCACCATACCTAAACACCTTAGAGCCGGGACCTGTAGGCTCAGGACCAGGTGAGCACCACATTTACTATTCTACACCCGTTTTTTATTGCTACAGTCTGCACATTGGTTTGTCCTCCTTTTATGTTTTATTTATGAGAACTACACCAAGCCGAATCGGAAGGGTGGTGCTACCAAAACAAGCACACAAGCCTAAATACGGAGCCAGTTTTTATACACAGGCTCCTTAAAATGTGAGTGTTCTGTCTGCTACATTATTCTCTGAATTGCAATTTTAAAATACCATCTGCACTATATTGTATCTTTTGTTTTTTATATATTTTTATAGAGCTGCTTTTATTCACGTTTAAGCACTTTTTGTTACACACATCCCTCCGTCAAAGGAGGTAACTTTGGATTGGTATTCAAACATTTAGACATGGCCAACAAACTGGAGAAAAGGTACCTATTACTGAGCTGCAAAGCAAAAATGGCTACAGTATAAAAAATATCAACCATTTTAGTTATGCTGGTTGTAAGATGCAAACTTGACAAAATTACATCATTATATCTCTATGAAAAAATAAATAAAAATAATAAGGTTTTATAATGTCGGCAGCAGCCCGAGAGACAACACAATTCCACTACCTGAACAAGAAACCCCTCTGACAGCTGGACATCTAACTCAGGCACTGGATGCCCTTTCTACTAAGCTAATTTGCTCCTGGCAGCACTCGGTTGACTCTCTGCGCAAGGACATCCAAGAGATTGGGAAACGGACGTCCCACATGGAGGCCAAGATGGACGAAGTAGCCATCGCTCACAACGACTTGGCCACCCACGTGGAGCAACTTGAAAACAGACTGCTGCGCATGGAGACAAAGCTGGCACACCTGGAAGACAGATTCAGGCGAAACAACCTGCAGCTGCCTGAGACGGTACTTCCTGCGGACCTCCAGGGGTACGCGAGAGGCCTCCTCAAAGCCTTTGCCCCAGACATACCTACTGATATGCTGCTCCTTGACAGAATACATAGAGTGCCTCGCCCACGGCAAATCCCAGACTCCTCACCGAGGGATATACTCCTAAGAGTGCACTATTTCCACGTCAAGGAGCACATCCTCGCCGCCAGCAGGAATAGAGCGCAGCCACCCGAGGGATACAATAATGTTCACATATTTCCTGACCTCTCTGCCACAACTCTCCGGAGAAGAAAATAATTTGCGCCAATCACTACTGCTCTCCGCAACAGTGGGCTCCGTTATCGCTGGGGTTTTCCTTCAAAGCTGCTAGTGTCCAGAGATGGCGCCATCATGACTATTTCGACTGTAGAGGAAGGCACTCGCAAGCTAACCACCTGGGGAATCGATCTCCAAATAGAACCGGCCCGCGCGTCGCCTGAAGTCAAGCTCCATCTGGAGTGGTCAACACCGATGGGACGCCGCTAGTGGAGCATCACACAACATGGGAGTCACGCAAGTACCACTCCTGCCTATAATGCCACTAACTGCACATTGGACTTTCTGGGTCCGTGCGGGTGTGTCCCCCCCGTGTTGCCTTCCGGGGGGAGGACGAAAAGCCCTAACCATATACCCGGTTCCCTCGTTGGAAACATCACGCCACAAGACGGGTAGTGAAGTTTTCTTTTTTTCTTTTTTTTTTCAAGCACCCCAAGGGCTAGGGGCCTGGGACCCAAGAGAGCACAAAAAAAAAGTTTGTTCTGTCCATTCACAAAACTCCAATTGTTGGCCCACACGCCACACTATAGGAGACACTCTGTTTCCGAACCCCAAGGTGCAAATTGTTGCACCATTCCCCTGTGTAGGGGGAAATGTAAATAACCTACTGCCCTTTCTCCAATTTTTCCTTGCTCCAAGTTTAAGTCCCTTTGTCGAAACCTATATGCTTAGACAAGTGCAACAAACATGCCCAGTCATACCAGCTGAACCAATGTCAACCCATCCTGAAAATACAAACACTTAATGTACGGGGCTTAAACACCCCTCATAAACGCCGCTTACTACTGGAAACTGCCAAGAAGGAACAAATTGACATTCTATGTGTTCAAGAGACACATTTTACCCATACTAAAATTCCCAGCTTTGCTCAAAAAGAATACCCCACACAATATCATTCTACACACTCGTCCAAGTCTAAGGGGGTCTCTATATTAATCCACCGCTCCCTCTCCTTTGAACTCTTACAACTTAAAAAAGACACTCAAGGACGACATCTCATACTACACTGTATAATCAATGATGTTACGTATACGATAGCATCGATTTATAGTCCCAATGCCAATCAAAGGAACTTTCTACACCATGTCCTCGCCAAAATCCCCCACCTGCAATTACCGTATTTGATCTTGTGTGGAGACTTAAATCATATTATTGACCCGACCTTGGATACGACAGCTCAGGCTGGCATAGGCAGGCATGCTGTCCTGCAACCCCAATGTAGAGCGCTCAGAAAACTACTACTGGAGTTTGACCTTTATGACTCCTGGCGGGTGCTCAACCCAACCAGCAGAGAATACACACACTTCTCACAAGTTTATAAAACTACTGGAGTTTGACCTTTATGACTCCTGGCGGGTGCTCAACCCAACCAGCAGAGAATACACACACTTCTCACAAGTTTATAAAACACACTCTCGCATTGACTATATTCTCCTCAATGCAAAGTTCTTAACGTCCATAAAACAATGCCGCATAGATGACATAACGTGGTCAGACCATGCCCCAGTAACCCTCACACTACATGATAAGTTCCACTCCCGGGGGACGGCCACTTGGAGGCTAAATTATATGCTCCTAGAAGACGAATCATTCCAAGAGACACTAACAGGGGATATCACACGTTACTTTGAAGTCAACTGCACACCCCAAATGCCACCTCACAACATCTGGCTGGCACATAAAGCAGTGATTAGAGGGCTTCTTATTAATCGTGCAGCCTATCTTAAACGCCATGCAAACCGACAATATATGTCTCTGCTCAAGACGCTTAGAGATCAAACTGCTACCCATCTCCTCTCCCCTTCAACAGAGGGGCAGGCACGTATAGCTCAAACCACTACAGCGATTAATGATCTGGTTCTACACAAAACGACATACATGCTTAATATCTTAAAAATGAAACAGTATTCCCAGGGAAACAAGGCAGGGAAAGCCCTAGCAAATACCCTCAGGCAAAAATCGGCCCAATCCAAGATACCATATCTGTTTTCCTCTACAGGGACTAAGCTCACTAATCCGCAGCACATAAATGACGCTATGGCAGAGTTCTACTCCAAACTTTACAATTTAACAAACGATAAAAAAACTCACCAACCCACTGCACTCGAAATACAAGAATTCCTGACCCAGGCAAAACTGCCCAAATTGTCACCGGAACAATGCGAGACTCTTCAACGCCCAATTGATAATTGGGAAATAGAAGCCGCCATCCGGTCCTCCACATGGGAAGTCCCCTGGCCCTGATGGCTTCACCAACATGTACTACAAAAGCTTTCGACACATCCTAACCCCCTACATGGAGAAGGGATATAACAACATTGTTACCACCGGAGACATGCCTTCTGAAATGCTAGAAGCCCATGTAGCGACTCTGCCAAAACCCGGGAAGCCGCCCAACAAACCCCCCAATCTTAGGCCAATCTCCTTGTTAAACACCGATACCAAGCTATTAGCAAAAATTTACGCCAACAGACTCTCAACTATCTTACCAGCGATGATTCACGGGGACCAGGTTGGCTTCGTAAAAGGGAGGAAGGGCTCGGACGGTACTAGGAAACTACTAAATTTGATGACGGTGGCGCGGGGCTCGGGGAGACCCAGTGTATTCCTCTCACTTGATGCTGAAAAAGCTTTTGACAGGGTGCACTGGGGGTTCCTGGGGGTTACGCTGCGGCACTTTGGCTTCCCCCCAAATTTCCTGTCCTTGGTTTCGGCACTCTACTCAACCCCATCTGCCAGAGTGGTAAACAGCGGCTTCACATCCTCATCCTTCACCATCACAAATGGCTCACGCCAGGGCTGCCCACTGTCCCCTATGTTATATATTCTAGTCCTCGAACCTCTGGCACAACACATATGCGCAAACACGAACATTAAGGGAGTACGAGTGGGAAATGTAGAGCACAAACTTACGACCTTTGCGGACGACATTATGCTCTCCCTAGAACACCCGGAGGCAACTACATGACATCCTTACCAAGTACAGTGCCTGCTCATATTATAAATTAAATATTACGAAAATGCAGGCGATGGGTATGCACATATCCCAACAACATCTACAAAATTTGAAGCAAACCTACACATACGATTGGTGAACAGATCACCTAACATTCCTGGGGGTGTCCTTCACAGCCACTTCATCTGCCCTCTTTCGTGCCAATTACATCAAATTGACACAAGCCCTGAAAAACCAAATTTGGGGATGGCGGGGCAAATATATCTCCTGGACCGGCCGCATTGCGGCAGCAAAAATGATCCTCCTCCCTAAACTCCAATATCTTTTCCGCAACTTACCAGTTAAACTTCCCCGAGCTTACATACAAGAAACACAAGGCATACTCAACAGATTTATATGGAACAATAGGAAACCAAGAATAGCAACCTCAGTACTGTACAAGCCATTCAAACGGGGGGGCATGGGCATACCGCATCTCGATGCGTACTATTCAGCCTCGCTCCTTAGTCCCCTTATTACGGCCTTTCCTCAAGACCATCCACCAATGTGGTCACAAATGGAAACCGCCTACACCGACGGGTTTGACATACCCACCTTAGCTTGGATCCCGAGACATCTTCGACCACAATATAAAAATATGCTCCCAACCACTAAATTATCCATTTTGATGTGGGACAAGCACAGAACTAAGACATGGCCCTTACCACAGCCCTCTCCTGCCATGCCACTTAAGGCCCTTGCAGCACTTATAGCCCAATTTAATGCTACAGAATGGGCTGCGCACGATATTACCTTCCTTTACCAGATATTGACCAATGATAAACTCTGCCCTTTTAAACAACTACAGGCAAAGCATAACATACCAGATTCGCTATGCTTTAGTTACTTGCAAATACAATCATGGCTACGCAAACAAAAGCCCCCACCAGCATTAGAACCACTAACGCCGCCTCAGCAGGAGAGACATTTATCTATCCTCGAGGCGCTATGCACACAGGGAAAACCACCGTCCAAACCCGTGTCCTTTCTATATCATGACATAATCCACAAATTAAACTCGGCGAAGCCAAAATTTACCCTAGTATGGGAGTTAGACTTCCAGCAGGAGCTGGACGAACAACAATGGTCCAAAATATTCAAGGCGAATCGAAAACTAACTCTATGCACAACACACATTGAAGTGTCCAGGAAGGTATTGTATCAGTGGCATCTGGTCCCCACCAGTCTACAACGCTTCAACCCCCACAAGTCAGACCTATGTTGGCGATGCCAAGCATACCCCGGAATGGTGTATCATGTATGGTGGACTTGCGCAAAGATTATACCTTTCTGGACGCAAATTTCGAACCTAATAAGGGACATTACACAAATTGATTTACCCATGCAACCGGAAAGGTACCTACTACACCTTCTCCCATTAGGCATACCTAAATCTGCACAGTATTTGATGTATCACGTACTTATATCAGCCTTACAGGCCATTAGTAAAAACTGGTTATCCTCTCACCCCCTGACTTTGGCCTCCTGCATCAAGGCCATCGAAACTACCAGAAAATACAAAATTATGGCTAGGAAAGCCGGCCCCCAGGCACACCTTGGGGAGACCGCCTGGAATTCATGGAATATATTCTATAGCAGAGTAGAAAAAGGTAGTTAAGAGGCAACCGATGTAACTGGCTCATGACTCAAACTATAGATACCTCTGGACAGAGGTAAATCTGGGAAATCTCTAACCTCATCTCGCTGTATGCACTTAAACATATACAAGCATTTCTAAGACCTCGGCAATTCTTTCCCCCCTCCCTCCCCTGGTACCCTCTCACCCAGTTGTATTGACACCCCTCTTTCTCAAAATAGGCACAAGTAGGAACAACAGCATGCAATCCTGTACTAGACGAGGGGCTGACGAATCATACTGAGCTTGCCTACAAAGGACATTATGTATCTCAATCTTGTAACTGTTGGTTGTCTCGGCTTGATTGAATCTTTTTTTTCTAATGTAACCTCAAATTTGTACTGCCAATACCTTGTATTGTAAACCGCTATACTTATGTGCCAATAAAAATTGCATATAAAAAAAAAAAGATGAAAAACGTCAGTGGCAATTGGCAATTGATAACCCACTCTCCCCGTTAACCTTGAAAAGAAGAAAGCTTTCCCACACATCCAATATCTAGTAATGGAAGTGTGGTCAATTCCCCAACCCTGTTTTAAAAATAAATTACTCCTGCTGCTCCCACTTCTTTCACATGCCTAATTTCTGCAACACTGAAGGATAGTCACTAATTCTGCTTGGTATATTTATAACTGTGAATGTTCTTGTGTTTAAATTTAACCCCTTAATGCCATTACAGCATTTCATGCTGTCCCGCATTTAATGGACTTTAATACCGTTGTGGCGGCATAGAATGCCATAACGGCTTTCAGCCCCAGAGCCGCCAGGATACTTATCTGCCCAGGGATCCATTTTGGAGCATTGCCTGACAACCATGCATTCCCTCTTCAGCATATCCAACCCTTCCGGGCCATGTGATCATGATGTAAGTGGCACTGGCAGACTGTGGACTCACTGGAATCAAAGCCACAGGCTCTCTAGCACTCCTACAGAGGCACTGCAAGGCTGAAAGTAGGCAATTCTAGTCTGTTGGTCTGTATCCATCAAAAGCTGAAGTCAAAGGGTCTTCTAGAACAACCCTGTTTTGGGGTATTTTTTTAATTTTTTTTATGGCTCCTCCATTTTCCCCTCTATTTGTTACCTGTCATTTGATCTGTGAATACAATTACCATTAAGTAACAGTTTCCTAAGCTATCTTTAGAAAATATATGTAGTCGATAGCACTGGGAAGACCTCTTTTCCATAATGACAAACCTAGCTGCTTATTGTTCCTCTTTTAACAAAAATAAATAAATAGCTTGCTCTCCATCCTCCCCCCCCCCACCGCCCCTTCTTTTGTGTCAGGAACAGAATTCTTAATCCCCAAAAATCCAAACATATTTGTGCAATACCTAGTTTGTTTGTTTGGGTTCACTAATTTCAGCTAAACAGCCACAAATCGGCTGAATCTTAATGTGGCTGAAACCTCAAGTCTAATAGTTAGTAAATTTAAATATATTTATTGATACATAAATATTGCAAAATATATTATACATTTCAAAAATAACAATATGAACATGATTCAGTTGCAAAAAGTGGACATCAATGCTATAATATTATGATAAGAAGTTAAAAAAGAAAACAAAATGGGAATATGTTATTAATCACATAAAAAGTCATCATCAAACACTGAACAATGAATTACAAAAGCAAACAAAAAAAACAATGGCAATAGTTTTACATTCACTGTTATAACAAACTAAATAGTTTTACTTATTTTCAAAATGTAATTGAATAAAATAAACCATAAAGCCACCATTTTAATTTACATAACTAATCTACTGAACATGAATTACTTTTCATTTCACATTTTCTCATACTAGAAACTCCATATTACACAAAGGTGTTTTTCTTATTTGATTCATGCCAGAGCAAATGCAATAGAGCATTTAAATAAACTTTACACCTTTCTCTATTAACTGTTTTTTATCACAAGGGACATCATCAAGGCTAGGCCTTGCTTTGTAATGGATGCAGCCAAACAGTGCTCTTAGTGGTCCATTATTGACTTTCTAGCATTAAGTGGTGGCACTACTGGCCTGACTGATGATGCATGTATTATTATTATGTTATTATTTATATAGCGCCAACAAATTCTGCAGCGCTTTAGTGGGTCGACTAATAAACATGTAGTTATAACCAGACAAATTGGACACACAGGAACAGAGGGGTCGAGGGCCCTACCAATGAGCTTACATGCTAGAGGATGTATATATGTATTTAACTTAAAAATATATAATATACCTAATTCTTAGGGAAAGCAAAAAAAGAGTGCAAGCGAGTACTGGGAATGGACAACAGCTCAAATAGCCTGCACTTCGGTGAGTCCCCACTTCTCAAGCTGATTTTAGCTCATCTTGTGCCATTACAAAAAGAACCAGATATTAGATAAGCTAAATCTAGCTCGAGATCTGAGCAGGAACCCACAGAAGGGCAAGCTATTTGAGCTGTTGTCCATTCTCAGAATTCTCTTGCAACTTGTTTGTTTTGCTTTCCCTATTTTCCAAAGGTAATCTAGACATGGACCCCTTGCTCGTGGTAGTTAGAGGGATATTTGCTGTAACTCACTGACAAGACCTAAAAGGCAGAAATGATTTTCTGGGGTAGCTGTATCTCTAATACAGAATGAGCTGGCCTGCATTTCAGATCTGTACCACCCTTTGGGTAGGATCAGTCTGATATGCAAATGGACTGGTTCTTTTTGTAATAGCATAAGTTGAGCTAAAACCAGCTTGGTATCTAAGAGGGAAGCCATTGATCTATGAGTCTACTTTGTTTCCTTGTGAAATATAACATTTCTATGCTAATTCCTCTCCAGTATGATTTCTCAGCCTTAATAACAATACACACACATTTTTTATTAAAAAAAATTGCACAAATTTTTAGATTGTTTAGGAATGCTATTTATTTTTTTAATCTCTTTTTTTCTTTATTGTATATAGATGTTCAAAAATTATTTTCTTTAATTTTCTTTTAGTTTTTTCTATACATTGCTCCCCACAATAAAATCACATTGCGACTAGTATATTGTTCAGTAATACATTTTTGTTTGTATCCACAAGTTTTATAGTTTTTATTTAAATTTTTCTTGAAGTAGCAGCAGAATCCACAGTTACAGAAACCTCTTCCCCCTGCTTAGGTATTTCTTCCTATTTCTTCTTTTCTCTCTATTTATTCTGGACCCCAACGTGGCATTTACTCCCCAGGGATTTTGCCTAATCAAAGGCCACTTTTGCAATATTTTGTTAATTAAATATTGCAAGTACCGCCATATGCTGCCAGTGTCCACATGCTTTTGTTTATAATGTAAGTATTGTACTCTGATGCACAATATTTTACCATACCTTTTCACAAATCTTATTCTATTCATTGCATGGGAAATCTTGTCATAATTATCTTCTGTTTTTTTCGCAAACTTACTAAGTAAAGATTGACAAAAACAGAATAGTTTTTTTTGTATAGATATTACCTTCCTCCTTCTATAGAGATAAAAAAAATATCTTATCTTCACCATTTTTTTCCCCAACAGAAAATTTCAGATTATAATCCAACTCAGGATTAAAATTTTATTCCAATGATTCAAACCAGTCCTTTTAAAGGACCACTCTAGGCACCCAGACCACTTCAGCTTAATGAAGTGGTCTGGGTGCCAGGTCCAGCTAGGGTATCCCGTTTTTTCATAAACATAGCAGTTTCAGAGAAACTGCTATGTTTATGAATGGGTTAAGCCTTCCCCCTAATCCTCTAGTGGCTGTCTCATTGACAGCCACTAGAGGCGCTTGCGTGCTTCTCACTGTGATTTTCACAGTGAGAGCACGCCAGGTCCATAGGAAAGCATTATGAATGCTTTCTATGTGATCCGTTGAATGCGCTACAGAAGCTTTGCCGCTGCGGCGCATTCAGCCGTGGGCGGGAACGGAGGAGGAGGAGGAGAGCTCTCCGCCCAGCGCTGGAAAAAGGTAAGTTTTTACCCCTTTCCCCTTCCAGAGCCGGGCGGGAGGGGGTCCCTGAGGGTGGGGGCACCCTCAGGGCACTATAGTGCCAGGAAAACGAGTATGTTTTCCTGGCACTATAGTGGTCCTTTAAAGTTAATTGTCACTGAAATGTCAATATCATATTCATCAACTGTGAATTTCCAATCAGGAAAGCTAACTTTTCACTCACTAGTGGCTAGTAGAAAATGGAAATTTTGAGCACTGAACTTGTTTGATGGTATGAGTTGAGTAGTGAAACCAGGATCTGAAGCAGAGGTTAGTGTAAGTGGTAATCAGATTGAGGTTTCCAAGTTTGAGAGGTTGCTCTGACAAGCAGGGCCAATTAAAATTAACAGTATACCTAAGAAACAGAATAAAGAAAAAATATCCTCAGTGAGACACAATATAGGTTCACCATTTCATTGCCACCATGGATTTATTTAGCCAGCATAGCAATCATGCTGTCAGTGAACAACAAGATTTAACGAAAAGTGTATAATGGAGATACCCAACAACCATACAATTCATCACAATAACAAATAAGGATATGACACAGAGCTCCATTGCCCCATCAATGCATGAGAAGGATAGGAAATTGCAATCCCCACAGCACTTCAACACTCTGCAGCAACATTTGTAATTATTTTTTCTGACTGAATTTTAGCAATGCAATTTAACTGTAATTTTAGAAAGCAACATTCTCTTGCATTTACCCACAATCATGATATTTTACCATTATATACTATATTATATATACACACTGAAAGTGCACAAACTCACACACACACGCTGTAGAGTTAGTAACATACAAACAAACAGGGGATGGGAAAAAGTCAGTTGTGGTGTGCCGGAACTGACGATGCAGTAGGCCTGAAATAAAAGAGGGCCTACCTTATGAAATGATTATAAAAGGAGGAGTGGTGGGTGGGACAAATCTCCAGACCTTAGATGGTAGTGAGGGAAGGGCTGGTGCTCCTTAAGAAGGGGAACCAAGCCCCTCTCACAACTTCAGGCCCTGCCT